CAGGGCTCAAATTGCAATGGTCTTTACGCACATGCCGCCTCTGCTGACTCTGCCTCGTGAACGTTTGGATGCGACTGTCACAAGCAGAGAGTGTGAGCACACAGGCGGCAGCCGTGGAAGACGCAAACCAGCACCTACATCCATTCTCGCCTCAGTCTGACACAGCAAACAAACTGACAGCAAACAACACGCAGCGAGTAAAGGGGGTGCTGCAACAACACGCCAAGGCGTGATCGTTTGTATTTTGGAACGGCAGAAAAACGACCCCGTCACCCTCCTTCAGCAATGCCGTGGAATTGCGTTCATGCAAGATGTCCGGATCAGCGCCGCACGAAGCAGCAATACTCTCCACTGTCTTTTTTCCTCGCATTTTGTGATGTCAGCGATGCGCGCCGTGTTTTCCTCCGCTTTCCTTCTTCAAGGGAGAAGGCGACACCCACGGCCCCTTGCACACGTCGCCCTCTCCCGTTTGTGTCGCCAGCATTTCCCCCGCCGTCGTCACGTGCGGCGGCGCTGCCCGGTGAGGGGGTCCCGGTGCTCGGGCCGGCCGGCGTCTTCTTCCGGGCGGCCGCGCCACGAGCGTGGGGTGTCTTCCCAGCGCGCGCCCCTGGTGCGCCGGCCGCCCTCCTCCGGCCGCGAGGCGAGGTTCCGCCGCCCCCCGGCGGTGCGCGCCGCTGCCCGGCCGCCCGCGGCGTCGAAAAGCTCTGTGGCCGCCGGTTCGACCCGGCGGCGGCCTCGCGAAACCTCGGCGAGGGGGGGAAGAGAGGGTGCGGAAAGAAGGGGAAACGCTGGAGGAGACGTGGCGCGACCCGCGGCCGGCAAAAAAAAAAAAGAAAACGGAAGGAGGGGGAGGGAGAAGAGAAGAAGCAGAAAAAGAACAACGGCACGCAGAGGCCCCCGCCACGGCGCCGATGCTTCCCCCCGCTCCTCTGAAGCCGCGCCGCAGTCAGCCACCAACACGCAAAGGAAAAAAGCAAGAAATCGCAATGCTAAAAAGAAAAAAAAAACAACAAGAAGGCAGACACACGTCCATAAAAAAAGCGGCGGCCATTGCCATCGGTGCTCCCCGCACTCGAATCGTCTACGCAATTTTGAGCGCGCCAACGGTGGCTGCAATGGCGGCGGCCGCACCGTTGGAACCAGCCTGCTCGATCTCCTCCGAAGCGCTGTCATGCACCTGAATATACTTTAGAATTGTACGCTTACTGCTGTCCTCTAACTCACCGCCCAATATCACCTCGTCCAGCACAAAATAGGCTCGATGAAAGTTGAAGATGAGATCGAGCTCGCAGACATTGCCAAAGTAGCGGTCCAATACCTCCACAAAATGGTGGATGACTTCCAGTACGATCAGCTCGTTATCGTCTTTGTCGATGGAAGCAACAAAATAAAGGGAGGCATAACGACGACAAATGTACTTGCTGCCCCTGTGCTCAACCACATTGGAAAAGCGCACCGACCGACCCAAAGCAAGTTGACACGCCTCACGCACAAGTTTGGCCTTTTCCTTTTTGGGATATGCAACATACCACTTTGCCAGGCGCAGTTTGCCCTGGCGGCTGATCAGAAGCAGGTATATTTATCATTGACACCAGTGCCAGGATGGTCCCCACTCCTCGCTAAGTAATGCTATGCGCTTCTGCGGCGTGCCTCTACGCTCTGTTTGCTCCGTGTTCTTTCCCTGCCTTTTCGCCGTCGCGCGGGGGAATCGGGACTTCTTGTCTCGGCACCGCGCGCTGCGGATAAAAACACGAGGGAAGCCAGCAGCAATAGGGAGGTGTGGAGAACAAAGAAGGGAAGAAAGGGAAACACACAGAGCTGCAGCTAGAGAGGGGAAGAGAGGGATAGAAAGAGAGAGAGAAAAGCGATAGCTGTAACAGTTTCCTGACGGGTTTCCTCTTGCCATGCCTGCGCGTCTCTATTCAAAGAGAAAAAAAAAACAAAACAAAACAAAAAAAACAAAAAAAAAAGAGAGACCGCCACGATTATCACAAAAACAGGGCTCAAATTGCAATGGTCTTTGCGCACATGCCGCCTCTGCTGACTCCGCCTCGTGAACGTTTGGATGCGACTGTCACAAGCAGAGAGTGTGAGCACACAGGCGGCAGCCGTGGAAGACGCAAACCAGCACCTACATCCATTCTCGCCTCAGTCTGACACAGCAAACAAACTGACAGCAAACAACATGCAGCGAGTAAAGGGGGTGCTGCAACAACACGCCAAGGCGTGATCGTTTGTATTTTGGAACGGCAGAAAAACGACCCCGTCACCCTCCTTCAGCAATGCCGTGGAATTGCGTTCATGCAAGATGTCCGGATCAGCGCCGCACGAAGCAGCAATACTCTCCACTGTCTTTTTTCCTCGCATTTTGTGATGTCAGCGATGCGCGCCGTGTTTTCCTCCGCTTTCCTTCTTCAAGGGAGAAGACGACACCCACGGCCCCTTGCACACGTCTCCCTCTCCCGTTTGTGTCGCCAGCATTTCCCCCGCCGTCGTCACGTGCGGCGGCGCTGCCCGGTGAGGGGGTCCCGGTGCTCGGGCCGGCCGGCGTCTTCTTCCGGGCGGCCGCGCCATGAGCGTAGGGTGTCTTCCCAGCGCGCGCCCCTGGTGCGCCGGCCGCCCTCCTCCGGCCGCGAGGCGGGGTTCCGCCGCCCCCCGGTGGCGCCCACAAAACTTCGTGCAATTTTTGTTTTATTTGTTGTCGTTGATGACTGTTATTGTGCAAAGTGGTGCCTGTGGTAAAGGAGATGTTATTTGTCTTGTTTTCCCTGCGTTAGACGTGGCGATGAGAGATCTTATCTTTTGTTGTCGTAATTATTTTTGTAATTGATGTGTTATCCGGAATTGTCAGTGTTTTGTGTATCTTTACCTGCCGCTCTGTTTTTAATTTTTCTGCTGTGTTGTTGCTGAAAGCGGATTTTTCTGGAGATTTTAATCGCATCATTTTTTTTTTTTTTTTGATTGAAATTCGTCCTTTCCGCGAAGTTTCTTACTAATTGATGCATCTGGATATTACTGGCGTGTCTGACTCTCGAATGCCGTGTTACTGTGTTTTTCTTAAACGACAATTAAATACCATGCTTGCCGAGCGAATGCGCCTGACTTCATTAAAGCGCATTGCTCGTGGGCAGATTCATCCAAGAGAGCCGCAAGGATTGTTGCCGCCTGAACATGCTCTACCTTTTCCATGATTTCCTCCTGAAGAGAGTGAAAAAGAAAAAAACACAGTGCAAGACACAGTAACATGTGGACCTTCTACAAAAGTAAAAAATCATGCCCCACCGGCTCAAATTTTTTCCCTCAGAGAAGCGCAGCGATAAAATAAGAAGTAATATTCTCAAGACAACAACTGTCCCCATACACCAATGGCTGGTCAGGACCAACACAACGCATGGAGCAGGGCAGCCTGACAAAGCGTCCTTTCACAAGCAGGTTTTATCGGCTTTTCTTTTTTCCCTCTGTTCTCCTGGCAATATCAGTTTTTTTTTTTTTTTTTTTTTTTTGCCAGGACACAGCAAAATCCCCGCCATTACGCACAAAACCGGTTCACACTTCTCCCTTTTCCTTTAAAAAGGATCAGCATCATCAATTAACCTGAGCCCGCCTCCCCTTTGGAATTCCATCGTTTGGCAGACAGTTTCCAAAGGATGGCTCGTAGAAGTGGTCATCCATGTACTTGAGCATGCCCCAGTTTGATGTCAACTTTAACAGTGCGTCTTCTTCACTTGGACTGCCAGCTGTGTTCGGATTATGTGCCACCTCTTGGCCTCGTTGTCGCCATACTCCTTCCACCCGTACAACGTACTCTGAGACGCGACAAAACACCATTTCCGCAAGAAGGGCGCGGCACGTGTGCTCCGCGAGGACCTGCAAATAATGGTCTCTAAAATCCCCGCCCTTCACTTCCCCTGTTTGCAGAGGACACGCCACACTGTCGGATTCCAACGCCCACCGCAACTGGCCCATAACACCGCGGCAAAACACAGCCTTCCAGTGATACGAGTACTCTCCCACAGCACTATCAGAAATAAAATCACCCCGGTGCTCCCCGGTCGTTGGCGACACGTTGCTCTTTGTCGTTTTTGCTTCTTGTCCCTGGTCCCAAGGAACAAGCATCCGGAAATTACACAGATCAAAGACCGTCTCACTGTTATAGGTCGACGCAATCATTTGTGTCAATGCAGAAATCTCCTTGGCATCTGCGTATGGAAACATGTTCACGAGGTTCGGGAAAAGCTCCTTAAATGTTACAAGGGATCCATGAAAGGATGACCCTCCACTGAGTGATGCTCGATCTGTGCGCAAAATACCATTCTCAATAAGATGCTGAATGCATGCATAGAGTTCCAACCGACGTTCATAGTGCTCGGCTCGATCATAGTACTTCATGAGGGCGCTAAGATTGTCTTTTCCCGCTGTTGGGGCATGTACATAGTC